CTTGGATTAAAACCAAGATAGCCACTTAATCAATGACAGACAGAATGAAATAACCTTGAAGAAGAAAAAAATTACTGATAGAAGAGAATCCTTCCTTACTGGAATCCCAGGTTTGAGATCTGAATACCTTTGAAGTTTTCAAACAACTCTTCTGGTCTCGAATACCAGTCCTGGATTTGAGAGAGGCCAACCCACTCATTCATATAGTGAACTATTGACCCTTCCTTTCAAAAGGAAAATGAAACTTTTAATCCATATTCTACCCACAGTCACCAGACGAACCACAATTAAGGTCGTTCTAAACAGAGTTCTAGAAACAGAATAGTCATTAAGAGCGGCAAGTTTTTGGGTGCCCTGTCCCCCCTCCATCCCCCACCATATCCACAGGGTAGGAACACATTCATTTAACTGAATGAGCAGGTTCCTGTCTGCAAACACATCCCTGGAGCTTCCTCTGGGTAGGGAAGCTCTTTATCAGCGTCTGGACTAGGAGACCTATAAATCAGCTACAAGCACAGCTTCCCTGCTGCTGCTAGTCCGGTTTCGCCTCACTATTCATCCTGCTTCGGAAGACCAAGGTGCTCTCTGAGCAAGAGAAAACAGAAATCCATCTCAGTCTAGGCAGCAGCAAAGCAGGGAAGGCAAACTTGTCCCACTTCAAAGCACAAGGCATATCTTTCACTAACTAAATAGCCATCCCAGCAGGAGTGACAATGAAAGCTTTCTTCCCTGTTATTGTTTGAAACAATGGCAGGCTATTTGTTCATATTAATTAGTTTATATCTAGTATTAGGCAGCCTTGATTAGAAAAATGCTCTTTGTTACCAAATGAATAGAGTAGCAAACAAAACCGAAAGCTTCTTTTTTTTTCTTCTTGCATTGTTGTGTTTGCCTTAGCAAAGAATTTTTGAAAAGAATCGTCAGGCCTTTCACACTTCAATGTGGGCTTATCTTTACACAGGTCCTTGAATTCACTCTAAAAGAATGCAAGTTGATGTGCCAGACAATACCAGGCTAAGCTGATTGAGTGAACTGCTTGTTGCGCCTTGCCTAAGGAGATGCTGTATTTAAATTACTTTTACCTTCTTTGAACTTCGGGGGAAACTTGATCATAGGAGAGAAGGCAGCAATACAAGCTTGGGGACAAAGACAAATCAGCCTGGGACTAAAAGTTGACTGCACGAATTACGTGTGAAGAGTTGCCATGTAATCAGGAGGCCCATCGTGGACCAGAGGATCCTGGGAAAGAGGTGACCCAGTGGTCAGCATCTCTCTGCCTGGGACCTAATACCCCAGTTTATAGCTGACTCCTTCTAAGGGGGCTTGAGTTCTCCCAAACGTCAGAGGCTACTACTGTTCCCAACATACGGTAAGACTAGAGCTCACCATCCTGGTTGAGATTAATTAATGAACTTGTTCAACCAAATTGTCAAAAGTCAGGATTTGAACTCAGGTCTAAGACTTAAAAGCTACACAGGCTTCTTCAAGATGAATGTTAAATTCCTTCCTGTCAAATTCCTGCAAAATCTTCTCCAACCTTGTAACTTAACCCACCTTCCTCCTCTACAACCAGAAACACGCTGATACATACGTCACAATGGGCCCTTAGCAGGGCGGGACCGTGTTTGCCAATTTCCATGATGTAAATACTCCGCCCTGGCTGATTCCAAGCGTGAACTCAAAGGGCTCACTAAATTCCTGAAAACGTAACCAGGTCTTGTGAGCTGGCAGAGCTGGCTCCACCGTGTCCCTTACAACCTCATGCTCCAACATACTGCAACTATCCTGAACTGGCGTGCAAATGCTGTGCTCTCTCACCCTGGGGCACTTGACATTCAGCCATGCCATTTCCTCTTCCTTAGCAGAATAAATCATATTCATAAGCTCCCTGCCTGGGGGATCTTCCTTCAAGAAACCTTCCCTGATCCTCCAAACGCTTTCCTGGGTTCTCCGCTTTATTCCTGGGGCACCCAGATCTCCTGTGTCAGAGCATCTGTGACACAGCATTGTAACTGACTGTTTCCTTACCTATTTCCCACTACATGTCTGAACTCCAGCTGGCCAAAAGCATTATTTGTTCTTGCTTCCCCAGGCCCGCCACAGTGCTTGTTAAATAATAATCCTGACATGCATGGAGCAATATGTACCAGATACTGTTCTAAGTTTTACACATCTTTTAAACAACTGTATAAAGTTGGCTTTATTAATATTATGCTCGTTTTTCAGATGAGGAAATGGAGGCACTTAGAGCGAGTAACTCCTACAGCCGGGATCTGAGCCCAACTAGTATGGCTGGAGAGCCTGTGCATCCTTCTAGACTAGCATTTCTTCACTTTTCCCCCGTTGGTGACTCTCAAAGAGAATGTTTTAATTAAATTTAAATTCTCCCTAGTGAGAGAAATTAAATAGAAAAGAATATGATTTCCTCAGGTAGGGCTAAGCTTTAGGGGGATTTTCCATCACCCAAGATCTAATCTTTGCCTTGTTGGGGCAATATCATTTCCTTTGACAATGTACGTTCTAGACATTCTGTTATGCATTTACATTAATGTACCATATGTTTATCCTTAAAAACATATGGTCTTATTTTACAGCTGTGTGTGTGTGTGTGTGTGTGTGTGTGTGTGTTTACAGTTTTAATTATATTTTCCTGTAAGCATTATTCTGCATCTTCCTTTCTTTTCCTTCCATCAGATATCTTGAGGGGATACCACTGTATTAAGATACATAGGGATAGGCAAAGGTAGGTTTACAGTTGTTTGTATGAAAAATAATACAATAATTAATAAATAGTAATAAAGAATAAACTCTGTGTTTCGTGTCCTCACAATTGTAAAACTACTTTTCCCACCCTGTATATTTGTCATTTTTAACTGCTGCTTGGTATTTAAATCATTATCAGCATGCCTACATTTATTAAGCCCTTCCACTATCATATAGTCAGAAAATTGTTTATTTCTTGGCCTTCAACTAAGTCTTCAATGAATCTCTTTATGCACATCTCCTGGGGCTCACATGTGTTTTCTAATGTAGAAACAATGCTTAGAATAGGGTATGTGCAAAGGCATATAATTTTAATAGATATCATCAAATTACCTCTAGAGTGACTATACCAAATTACTTCCCACAGAGAATTTACAAGAGTACACGTTTCCCCAAGTGTTTCTATTAAATATGGCCTCTTTCTACCTTGGGTGGTATTAAAAATTTTAATTAAATGAGTCATTTAAAAATGCTCATATTACTCACCAACTGATAGTAGCTTGTGTAAGAGGGAAGGGGTGCAGATAAGACGATGCTGTCAGAAATGCTGACACGTGACATAAGCAAGACTGGGATGCTGAAATGCCTTGTCGGGGAACCTGTCCTGGGGCCTAACACCACAAAAGGCTAAGAATAGCCACTGCGTGGGAACAGCTGCAGTGCACTTTGAAATGGTGAACTCAGGTAACAGGAACTAAATCGTTTTACCTATTGACCCAGTCTCTCGGGTACCAAAAACACTGCTGAGGGGAATGGTAACCAAACACCCAAAGTGAAATGAAGTGTTGCAAAGACAACGATCCATTTACCAGAAAAAGAAATACATCTAACAGGAATAACACTATGCGTCCTGGGAAGTAATACTAACACTTTAAAATGTTAAAGAACGGCAAGGACTTTATCCATAAAATTCCAAGGTGTTTTAAAGGATTTTAAAAAAGAAAGCATAATAAATACAAATGCCCCTTGCTCCCGCTCCTTCTTCCTTTCCCTCCCTGTCACATACAAACACCCCTCCTTGAAATACTTACAAAACGTAGTAGCTTGTGAAATAGTACAGAAAAAAAGTGGGGAATAACTTTCTGTATCATCAAGAGTCAAATTTCAACCGAGACGGCTCTTTCTCAAGGTGTACCTTTTTCTTTAACCTTGTCATGAATGAGATGGGAAGGAGGAGGAGAAGAAGGAAGAACAGACAAGAAACTACATATGTTGAGCACCTACTATGTGCTTTGAACATGGTCTGTCATTTAATCCATATAACCATCCTGTGAACTATGATTACAGAAGAAATTAAGCTGAGCGAGGTTAGCATGACTCAGGCTCCTTATCCAGCAATTGGTATGTGAATTCAGGCCTAATGACTCCAAAGTCTCTTTCCCCATTGAGCCACTCTTCCGGCTGAAACTGAAAGAGTCCAGTTAAAACCTGACTAGATCAGATTGTGAGGTAATCTGAACAAAAACAATGTTCCTGCCTTACTGCTGTTCTTAATACATATATTACTGTATATATTTTATTGATTGCAGAGAGGAAGGGAAAGGGAGCGAGGGAAATAGAAACATCAGTGATGAGAGAGAATCACTGATTGGCTGCCTCCTGCATGCCCCACACTGGGGATCAAGCCCGCAACCTTGGCATATGCCCTGACCGAGAATCAAACTGTGACCTCCTGGTTCATAGGTGGATACTCAACCACGGAGCCACGCTGGCAGGACTTACTGTCCTTCATTAGACAGAAAAAATAATTTATATTATTGTTGTTCAGAAGTTTCTAGGACTGCATTTTCTTTTCGAAGTAACTAAAATAGGTCAAGGCAAAATGATAGTAATAATTACAGGAGTAGGACAATGACACAGCATTCAGAAAACTGGTTATAAGATTACATCTGTTCTGAGACATTTCATTAAACGCTAAACAAGCCCAGAGAGGAAAAGAAGCAGGGTTCAGAATTCACTTCTGACTGTCTTGATTTGGAATTGGATGTCTATAATAATAGCCAAACTTCCTAAGCACTGAAAACCAAGGCCCCTACAAACAGAGACCAGCTCACTAAAATCACTTGCTCACTTGAACTAAACAGCACCTGGCCATAAAAGCACTATTATCCAAATACCCACCAAATGATTATTAGGACACACATGATCCCCATAGTCAAACACACTTTCTGAAACCCAAGTTAAATATTCAACGAAAGGATGATTCGCTCAAACCTGCGCTGGTCTGAATCACATACCTGGGGCTGTGAAAGGAGAGGGGTGGCCGTGGAGGCAGTAGCCATGGCGGCTCTGTAGTTGTGGGCAGTGACCAGGCCCCAGCACCACGGCGCCGGACACAGGAGTCAAATTCTCGTGGTTGCTGATCAGATCGCAGTCATGCTAGGAGAAGCTGTGGACCTGGAAAAGAACAGGAAAGCCCAGTTAGCCCACAAGGAATATCACATGGGAGTGAAGTACCATTTGCCGGAGGAAGCAAAAATCCCTCAGACTAAATGCCAACTACCAGCTTAATGGAAAGAGGAATCCAGGAGAGAGCATCTAACGTCTCAACTCCCAAGACTTTTATTCCACTCATTCAAATCCTGTCAAGTTGATGTACTAGAATTTTCATAGGTTTGAATCCAACTCTGCAGGCTCCCTAGATGTTTTGGGATGTAAGTGTCAAGTTGTGAAGACGGGAGAATGGGCCAGCGTGAGAAGCCATCCTGTCTTTAACCAATAAAGAAATTGAGTGGCCTACAACCTAGAGCTGAGAGTTTACATTCAAAGGGCAAAGAGAATAACACCATCAAGTGTCCTAGAGATCAACCCCTACCCATTAGCAGATTAAAAACATTGGGGGCTGGAGAAGAGAAGGGACTAAGTCATACATTTCACTGATGGCAGAACTAGCACTGGACCAACAACCATTCCCAGTCCAGTGGGAAACAGAAGAAGGTGAACGGTTCCATGTTTACATTCCCCCAGGGAATGATTAAAGAAAGGGAAGGCAGGTTCAAGAGCCAGCCACAGTCAGGTACTCAGGTGGGTGGCGAGGGCTTAGGAACTCAGACCTCCCCATGTGTGAGGAGAAGTGCATTTTTTAAATCCTTTGACATCCTCAAAGAGGGGATGCTAGATAAGCACCAAGTATAACTAAATCTTTCATTGTTAATATGTTTATAAAGAAAAATCAACAAGATGTTAAACTCCCTGCAGGAAGGCATAGCCCAAATTCTGTCGAAAGATTAAGGCCATTGTTTCCATGTTGCAATTTAACCCAGAAGGGAAAATATTTCATTTAAAAAATTTTTTTAAATTCTATTTTAAGAAAATTTTTCATTTTTAGGTTGTTTGCATACCACCTAACAATATCCTTTTTATTTTGTTTTGTTGTTTTTTGTTAATCCTCACCTGAGGATATTTTTCCATTGATATTTAGAAAGTGGAAGGGAGGGGTAGAGACAGAGAGAGAAACATAGATGTGAGAAGACACATCTATTCGTTGCCTCTCACATGCACCCCAACCAGGGCTGGGTATTGAGCCTGCAACGGAGGCACATGCCCTTAACTGGAATCAAACCCAGGACCCTTTGGTCTGCAGGCTGATGGTCTCCACTGAGCTAAACCAACTAGGACACACCTACCAATATTCTTTTATTCAAAATGTATTTTTTGAGCATTTGCAGTGAATTTAGCGTATAATGAATAAAAGTACACAGCCCCTGACTTCAGGAATCTTTTGCTTGTAAATACACTTTCTAGTTCCATCAGCATGCATATACCTGAACTCTGGTAAACTATTAGAAAATGATACTTTTAATAATACTGAAGTAACGAAGCAGGATCACAAGACCTGGGCAAGTAGGAACAGTAAAGTTGGACACTTACTCCAAGTCGTTTGGCCTCAAGTCCCCTGGCACTTACTCTGCATTAGCTGGATGCTGAGCAAGTCACAGAACCTCAGACATTCTCCTAAGAAATAACCTAGGTTTGGCAGCAACCTCTACCAACTTTAAATTTTGATTTGTATCCTGTCTTTGTGTATTATCCTTCACACTGTAGTTTCAGTCGCTTTAGGTTTTCTCTTTTTTCTTAAAATTTATTTTATTGATTTTTTACAGAGAGGAAGGGAGAGGGATAGAGAGTTAGAAACATTGATGAAAGAGAAACATTGATCAGCTGCCTCCTGCACACTCCCCACTGGGGATGTGCCTGCAACCAAGGTACATGCCCTTGACCGGAATCAAACCCGGGACCCTTGAGTCCACAGGCCGATGCTCTATCCACTGAGCCAAACCAGTTAGGGCGGTTTTCTCTTTTTTTTAAATATACTTTTATTGATTTCAGAGACAAAGGGAGAGGTGGAGAGATAGCAACATCAATGATGAGAGAGAATCACTGATCGGCTGCCTCCTGCATGCCTCACACTGAGGATCGAGCCCGCAACCCAGACATGTGCCCCGGCCGGGAATCCAACCGTGACCTCCTGGTTCATAGGCTGATGCTCAACCACTGAGCCACGCTGGCCGGGCCGCTTAGGTTTTTATTGTTTAGAACTGTAGCAGTAAAGCTGTCAAGATGTTTGGTATAACATTCAACACAAAAGTCCACAGGTGCCCTGAGACAACACTGATCTTCTCCTAGGCTACAGTCTGGGGGTTGAGGTCAGACCTATGTTTTATCACACTGTGAGTTTAAGAGCACAGCCCGGGAGAAAGGTACATAGATATTGGAGTGCCTTTCCTCTGAGAAACTTACAGGACCCCATGGTATGCTATTTTGTACCGAACTTATTGCTAGCATCACTTTGTCCCCACCCCTACTCCTTTATTTTTTCTTTTTCCTTCTCGTGTATTTGTAATTCATGTTGCCTTGCTCTATCATATGTAGGGTACACAGGTGAATATATAAATAGCGTGACAACCAAAAACCAAAACAAGCAGGAAGGGGAGATTCCATTCTTAAGGACTCACACTGTGCACTCAACCCAATATCATTTCTGCCAAGCTGTCACTAGGCTATATAATCTTAATATATTTTCAATACAGGGTAGGGCAAGAATAGGGTTACAGTTGTTCATATGGAAAATAACATAATAATTAATAAATAATAATACAAGAATAAACTGAGTTTCTCGTACTCACAACTGTAACCCTACTTATGCCTCACCCTGTATTCAGAGTACATAGAGTTGCCCAAACGGTGAGCACCTAGCCTGCAGTATAGAAAGGGATATAGAAATTGATGGGCACATACGCCACATGGCATCATTGCTGACAACCAAATGGGGAGAGGTGGGAGCGCGGGGGTTACTGACACCCGACTAGAGGCTGAGCACTAGAAGGATGAGGTCACAGACAGCGTGAGGCAGACCGTGTTAACACACGTCACAAATGGGGAACCGGAGGCTCTGAGAGGTTGTGCAACGTCCCCAGAGTCACAACAGCCAGGAAATGAGGAGCTGAGACCTGACCCCGGACCCACTCCAGGGCCCACGCACTTTCCACAGACTAACCCTGCAAGGGAGCAGAAATGACGAGGACTTGCTTGAAATCTTTTTAAGCACCGTTTCAGGTAGTCCTGGAGAAAGCAGGGTGGAAGTCAGATGTCCTGCAGATCTTCACTGTTTTCCCCAAACCCTGAAACTCACACTGCTCTCATCTACACACAGTTTTCATGATTTTGATTTATGTTACGTGTCCTTGAAATAGTTAGTAGATAACAGATCATTCGTTTCATATCTTCAAAGAGAAAATAAGAAAGGAGATTAACTGCCTTCCTCTGAAGCATTTAAGACGTATCTGGTTTTGAGGCTTTCGCTGCACCTTGTAAAAAGGTGATAAGAGCCCTTTATAAAATGATGTGTTGTTTTTAACTCTGAAAATACAAGAGCTAAGCAATACTACCTCCGAGGGTATAATCAGCTCTCTCTTGGAAGTGGTCTTAAAATCACATTTATGAAACCTATTTACTTCCCAACTTATTTACAAAACTGAATATATCCTGGGGAAACTAGACACAATGACAAAAAAGACAACACCCTAAGTAAGACTGCTGTTTGGTCTCTAGCTAAGGAAGCTGGTTAACTTTGACATTCTAGGCCCTGCTTTCCCAGAGCCCCAGACTGTCAACTGCAGAGTTGCACAGAATTTTTAAAGAAATACACCCCTCTTGAACTCTTCCAAGTACCTGGACGCTTGTCCTGAAGCTCTTCCCATCTGTCATCAACCTAACTCCCCATTTCCTTAGCTTGAGCTCCAAGGCTGTGCTCAAGCAGGAAACCATAAAGCAGTGTGGGCGGGCCCCACTCGCCCCGGCTACCCTTGGCTCATTCCTGTTGCCCATTCTCTTCTCTCATTGCCTCCATCTTTTCTCATGTATACCACTCTTCGCGAAACCACAAAACTACCTCTAATGCCCTCCGCTTGCAAAAGATGAGCTTTATCCCTTACTGATTTACTTACCCATTCTTTCATTCCCCCATTGTCATTGGATATGAATTACCTCAATACCCTTCCCTACCATTCAAAATGGATATATAAAATACAACTTACAAATAGGAAAGCTACAGAGGCTCATTCCTCTGTGCCAGATTACTAAAGAAATAAGAATAGGGAATATCCTTAATCAGCCTTAGAAGCCAAAGATGAGTCCCTACTATTGCTTAAACTTCCAGGAACACAGGGATAGGCAAAAGTAGGTTTCTAGTGATTTATGTGAAAAAAATTATAATACAAAAATAAATAGTAATACAAGAATAAACTCTGTTTCGTGTATTCACAACTGTACACCTACTGTTGCAAACCCCCGATAATAGAAAAAAAATCAACATGGGAGGTTGACAGAAGGACTTAGGCGCAACACCACCTTCATGTGAAGCTCAGAACAGAAAATCAGCAAATGAGACCCCAATAGGTTCATACTGATACTCCTAGTTCTGCGGGCTGCGGGCTGCAGGGAACAAAGCCAGGGAGAGGTGGCATCCATTTAAAATCCACTGGCTCCTTAAAAGGGTTCCTGGCTCCTACGGAGCAAGAAATATCTAGTTGCACTCACTTCTAATTTACATGTGGTCATGACGACTGCACAAGAAAACACGTGGGGGCGGGGGGAGGGGACACCACCAGCTGGCTTCTGATATGGGCAGCCATGCCAAGTGACAATAACCTTGCTAATTACTGAGTGCCACACCAAAACGCCCAAGAGAGGCTCTGGTTCAGAGGCAGACTTCATTCTGATTACTCCTGCAGCTGACGCTGGCTGCTTCTCTAGGTCTCACAGGAAGATGGGCTTCCAATTTGCAAATTAATCTCCTATAAATCTAACCTTTTCTTTTCACCTGGACCTGAGTCAAACAGTGACTCATTTCAGTCTCTTGAAAGAACACAGGGCAATACCCGCCACTGAATATGCAA